GCAAGGATCAGTATAACATTTACGTGCATGCGTCCAATATTTGGACGCAGAGCTCTGATTGGTTGATAACTGATTCACATGAAGTGATTGACAAGCTTCCATAAACTACACTTCCCGTTTGTAAAACCGAGCAACGCAAAGCTTCGGAATTGCGGCAATGTAGAGATAAAAGTATTATATATTTTGTATCCTTGTTGTCTTTTTACTGTAAATTAATATAGTATTCATATAAAGATGAATACTAAAAGCTTGCATGCTTTATTGTGTCCTGGGCTTGTCTGACTCCTAGGCTAAGAATAATTCTTGAGAAAGACTGAACAAATTCGCAAACCAAAACCTAGGAACAAGGCATTATATTGCTTCTCTTTTATGAAAGAATATTGAGAATTATTCTGATAATATTCAGTGCATATTGTGTGTATTAAGCTTGTTTTACAATGTTACTGACTATTTAATATTTATAAGACAGACAGTACTTATGCAGCATTAAATGTACAGTATTAAATTTACTTGTCACTTTGTTTACAATAATTATCAAATGCATGCATGTTTAATTCCACTTTTTTTGCAAAATTTGAACTATAAACATATTATTAAATTATGTCCAATGTCCATGGTATATCATATATGTCTATGTCTCACCAAAGCCATAAATTTCAGTACGTTATATATATTATATTACTATATATATATATATATATATATATATATATATATATATATATATATATATATATATATATATATATATATATATATATATATATATATATATATATATATATATATATATATATATTATATATATTGCAGCACGAAGCAATTCCAAACAACTGAATTAGTTACTTAGCAGGCAATATACAACTTCAAACTTACTGTGCCCACAGAAACACATGCAAATTGTAATAACTAAAAGTACAACTTGATATATTACACTGTCACACCGTAAAACCGCAAGCCGTTTTAACTTTTTTAGTATGGACAGTGGACACAGAATAAGGAATCTGTTCAACGTTCATCGGTTTATGTTTACAATATTGCAGTGTATTTCTGGTCTGCGCTGATTGGTTGTTATTAATTGACTTGTAACATCCTAATTGAAAGGCGACACACAATCATTATAGGGATCCTTGCAGGCTCTCTTTCACCCAGAGAGCCTGCTCGCAGGCTAGCTCTCCAGAAGTTTTGATACTCATCAATTTGATATAAGGTATTTTGAAACAACAATTGTTTTAGAACAAGTACACAATTTTGAAAAATCTGACAGGCTTACATGGGGCAGATTCAGACAGGTTTAACAGGTTTAAAGGGTCCCTTTGTATGAACGGTGTACCATGTATCAGACAGGTTTAACAGGTTTAACGGGAAAGTCCCTTGATCACTGGAGCAGACTGGAGGAAGCAGTATACCGGTCTTTCTGTCACAAAATGACTTTTTCCTATCCCAACTTGTAAATATCTGTTAAACATTCCACAGCTGCCGAAATAGGTAGCCATCGGGCTATTAAAAGAATACTGACACACATACGGTAACCTTTATACAGCCACAGTTCTCAATTTTTCGCACTATTCGCACTTTCGCGGTACAAATAAAACGTTAATTTTCAATCTGGTTATGCGATTTACTAGTAAAGACTGATAAGTACGATCAAGGTTTTATCACATTGAGTTTAGGAATGTACGTGTTTTGACAGTGAAAAAGCTTACGAAAGGAAACTTGACGACCATATTTACACCAAGTCAAAAGTGAAACTACGCATTTTAAATACGTACGAATTCACACACAAACTGAAAGACTGATAAGGCGTTCGAAAAATATACATAAACCCACCTAAATTGTGAAATAATAGTATAAAAGAGAATAAGTTAACATAAGCCAATGTTATTTATCAAAAAAATACATGCAATAGTAAAAAATGTAACACATTTATCGCTTACAAAAGTGTCCAATGTCGAGGCAGACGAACAGTTATCGTTCAAATCTCGGTACAAATCACTCTGTTCTTCAGCTGCTGTATTGGAACAGCTTTCTTCTGTCATTTTCGGTGAGGCAATTTCACTTCTGGCTATAATTCTAAAAAAAAGAGTGTCAAAGAATAAAAACTCTCTGACAAGCTAGAACTTAAACCCACCTATATTAACATGTACTCGCAAATGCCATCAACTGAATTTCCGCACGGCTATTTAACCCGGGAAAGTTTGCGGAAAGAATTCCAGGAAAACACCCCCTTTTGAATTCCTTGGCACCAGCTCTGAAATTCCTTAGTTTTCTAAAAATTCCATATTGTAAAATTGCTGAAAACTATAAAAAATTCCTGTTTTAAAGGAAAGAACGCAAAACAAAATGCTTCCAGGGGATGCTTTCAGGGGAAACGTACTGTAATTCCGCTATAAAATCACCGGTGCTTGTTGCCCTATGTTTGTTTGCCTTTGGCACACCATTGGTCAATGTTTGCTGCGCTCGCGGTTACGTCACCTGCTAGCGGTCACGTGGTTATAGGTTTCTACGTCAGGTGGTCAGGATGGTAGGACTCAGTACGTTTGTTTGTTGTGTGAAAATGTATTTGAACTCGCACGATACCAAACAATGAATGTTTTGGGGGGTAGATTTGGTAAAGTGCTATTTTGTAAGCATTTTAGGGGCTATTTTATCGTGTTTTGGATTTAAATAACCTTTATTTAACACATAACAACTGTACTTGTCCGATGCTCGGGCTATTAGAAGACCTATTAGAACGAACTTGCCCTTTCTCGACTGACACCAAAGTAACCAAAGTTTCTCGACTGTACCCGACGCTAGTCAGATCTACGCTACTGAGATCTGGTCGCCACACACCATCATATTAAGATCCAGAGTCGAAAGTGTCCAGAGAATAGCCACGGCTTGGATATTGAAATAAACTTACTAAACTTACTCCCCCTCTGTTACGAAAGAGAATTACGGATTTGGTGTTATTTTTCAAAGCACTCTTGCCACTCTGTCACAACTCTGTAGTAGAACAAACCTCGATATAAATAACTTTGTTTCCTTTGCAAACAATGGCCGTACACGACTCTGTCAGAATCCTTCGCTCATGCTTAAAACCCCTTTCTGCAAATCCAAAACGTTCCAAACTTCCTAGTTCAACCGCATTGTCAAACTCGAGGTCAAACTATGGACCTACATCTCTAAACATCTACCTCCTGCCAACTTCACCAACCTCTCCTCCTTCAAAGGAACTCCTAAAGACTTACAGGAACTTGCTTGTGACAACAGGCACTTGGATATTACTATTTATTTGAAAAATACGCTGTAACGTCATCTGGTGACATCGTCAACTGACAATATTCATCAACATTCGGCAATACCTGAAATCGGCCTGATTAAAGCGTGTAAACGTACCTTAACTCGTTCGTGTTCAGAATGTTATATCATATCTTGAAGTCGTTTATTAATGTGATTTTTTTATCTCTAAGCTTTACAGTAATGATATGAAAAGCTTTATCCAACTCGTAACGGTTCTGCACATCGCCGCTCAATTTCGCACACTACATATACAAAAATACAATAAATATATAGCAAATTCATCTTTGTGTGGGATACAAAACTATTTTCGCGTGCATGGTCCTTGCACGCAACACCTTCGACGTCCACTACTTTACTTCCTGTACAATTTACTGATCTCAAACGAGGATGGATATGATAGTTATCTGCTACATAACCTCCTTCCCAGGGTCTGCTACATTGTATATATATATGGACTGTTTGCTCGGTCTCAAAAAGCGCGGTCGCAAGTTGGCGAATATATGAGTGATTACTCATGGAGTCGACCGCTGACTAGTACTTGGAGCTGAAAGTATTTTGCTATGCGCCAGCAGTGCTGTTTAACTCTCATATTCGTCAGCTTCAATTTGCCACGCAAGCCTTCAGTAAAAAAGTATAACAGCAAGCAGTCCAGATATATGTACATGTCAATGATCTGCTATGGATATATGCCGTGTATAATTGAAGCCAATGGCGGACACATTGATCTGACTACCACAAATGTACTGCTGTATTTCTGGCACGTCAGAAGAGGTTCTTAGCTTTATCGTAAGGTCTCCAATAGAGACGATGTAGGGCGGCAACCTGACGACGGAAGGGCATACATATGACTCGAAAATTGACGGTGTTATTTTTTAGTCTAATATGAAAGATCTTGAAAACTGTAGAGTAACTAATTCTTTGATAGATTTTTGTTTTCTTGCTTCGTTTTGAAGATATTTCATTTTGTATGATATGCAAAGGACAAACTTCCTACGTCACATATGCATAAAGATTGAGCCCTAAAAGCTGTATATCTTTAATACAACTAAACACAATCAGTAGAAAACCTACATGGGTGTTGTTGTGGACAAATCTCGTGCTCATCATTCATTTTGAGCGAATTTATTTGATAGTGACAAAATTATATAACATTTTAAAGTAAGTCATTATGCATATGTGACGCAGAAAGTTGGTCCTTTGCATATCATATAAAATGAAACATCTCCAAAACAAAGCAAGAAAACAAAAATCTGTCAAAGAAGTTACTCTACAGTTTTCAATGATCTTTCAAATTAGACTAAAAAATAACACAGTCAATTTTTGAGTCATATGCCCTTTAAGAAAAAATGAATAATTAATATCCCACGGGAGTTTGAGACGTCATCCACGGTCTGTTTACAACGGGAAGCCACAAACGTCTTGGATAAAACGCCTGCGTTTCAAGACGCGAGAAGTGATACTCAGTAAATTAGCTCAGTACTACATGTAGAACTTTCTCAACAATAAAACCACTATTTCAAACTAACCAAACAGTATTAAATTGATACGATCAATAATAGTCTACAAACTTTCTTTACAATCGTTTATTTGAATGACATTATTCTGGCCGTCGTCGTTGCGGAGCCGTCCTACATCGTAGGGTCTCTAATTGTGGCTTCAAAAACGGCTTCATCCAGTCTTAGCTATGAGATCAGTGGTAAAATACATGCTCTATATTACGCCAATCCGAAGCCAGATGAATAACTAATGGCCTGCTCCACTTTTTGTTTCATCATTTCCTTGGTCGGGTAGCGTGGTAAGTCGAGTAAGTTGAAACACGTGTGAGCTACTGGTAAATGTTCGTTATTGACTCCGCCTGAGACTGGCTGGATCTTTATCTACATTGTATGAAAACATAACATTCTTATTAGCCTGCGTGGCAGGCGGTTTTTTCCTTTGCCTCCCTAATTTTCGCTGCCCGTAGAAAATCCGCCTGCCACGCAGGCTACATTTTTATCAGTTATGGGGATTCACTGCAGGGATGAAATATCCCAAGGGCGAAGCTTGGGCTTGACCAAGAAATTAAACATTGTTTCCTAGCCATGTTTCCCGAAGGTGGACAAACCAGGAAACATTGTTTACTAGCCATTATTTCCGAAGGTGGGCAAACCAGGAAACATTGTTTCCTAGCCATGTTTCTTGAAGGTGGACGAACCATGAAACAGTGTTTGCTAGCCATGTTTCTTGAATGTGAACAAACCATGACACATTGTTTCCCAGCCAAGTTACTTGAAGGCGGACAAACCATGACACATTGTTTCCTAGCCATGTTTCCCGAAGGCGGACAAACCAGGAAACATTATTTCCTAGCCATGTTTCCCGCAAGTGGGCAAACGATAAAACACTGTTTCCCAGCCATGTTTCCCAAATATGGCCAAACCAGGAAACATTGTTTCCTAGTCAGTTTCCTGAAGGTGAACAAACCAGGGAACATTATGCCCTATAGCCATGTTTCCCGAAGGTGAACAAACCAGGAAACATTGTTTCCTAGCCATGTTTCCTGAAGGAAGGCAAACCATGAAACATTGTTTCCTAACCATGTTTCCTGAAGGAGGGTAAACCAGGAATTTTTATTTCCGCAACAATGTTTACAAGGGCAGGCAAACAAAAAATTTTCCCAATATTTCCACAACAATGTGTTTGTGAGGTTTACACTTAATAAACTTTGATAACACCGTACTTTGCTCAAAAAACATTTTGATAGTATAAACCTGCCGCTGGGGACAATAAAAATTACTTGCCTTTAAGCTTCGTATTCCTGTTATAGGTACTCGATCGGTTCCCGTTAGGAAAACTATAAGAAATATAAAATACAGAAAAAATACTTCAGGATTATTTCACTGTTGGGGAAAAAATATTAAAATGAACAAAACGTACCCAGAAATTTCTTCTTATTCGTCATATCAAATACATTAAACACATTCCAGAAATTCTGAATGACTGGATGATTGGGATAATACTCGCCAAGATATTCAGCACCCTATACGAAGCAAAGAAACAATCTTGCTATATGGCTCTGTCACAACAAAGACAAGTTGACAAGTTGTTGGAATCGCATTGGTATACAAGTTTGTTACAAGTTGTGCGTTTTTATATGATGGTGCACTTGCATTCTTAATTCCATCAAATAATTTCCATAAAATCGTGGGTACCTCGGACCCCCCCCCTGTCAATAGACCTTGCCGTTTATTCACTTTTCACCCAATGGCCTCGTTTTCCTGTCAAACACTTACTCATGTTTTGTGCTTAGTAGGGTTGAAAATTACTTTGTTATTGAGCCTAAGAACAGCAAGAAACAAATTCGTCCAGGAAAACATGGGAATATAATCTTTATCTGCCCCTATAAGTTAACATGGAAGCGAGCCTTGGGTAAAAAAGAATAATCGGTAAGGTCTATTAGGCAATATTCTGTTGGAAAATGCAATGAGTGGGCAACAAAGTCTGTTCACAAGCTGTCAACAAGTTGTGTTCGCACTGCTTGTTCCCAGTTTGTTGGAACAAGTTTGAAACGAGCTGTTGACAACTTGTAACAAGCTTGATGGCATTATTAGCCTTGTTACAAGATTGTGCTAACAAGTTTGTTACAGCCGTGATATAACAAGGATGTTACAAGGTTGTCAACACAAGGTTGTAACAATAGGGCCATTTATACGGAACAAAATAAGACGCGACTTAAATAAGACGCGAGTTTGTCGTATAAAAGGTACAAAATTCTTATGTAAGACGCGTCTTGGATAAGACGCGTCTTACATAAGAACAGGCCTTTTAGCTGT